GGGTTCCAGTCGTTCGTTCCGTCTAGCCAATGTTCTCTTTGTTTTCCCCATTTTCCTTCGGTCGGTAAAACGAATCGTTCCTTGTCATCATGTCGTCAAAGGCGTGAGTGTCTAAGGTTATTGTCCCATCTCCTCAAAGATGCGGAGTAGACTCCTTACACCTGTCAGTGAGTTCTCGTCAGGTCCCTGGCCGGGCGTCCATTCGGCGTGAGCAAAGTCAATGAGCTTCAGGCCGTAAATTTGGGGCAATGAGGCCTCGAGGTCTGAGTCCTCGTCCAGCTCGTCATCGTCATCCAGAGCGATGCCACTATCAACCCTCTTGGTAGTTCGAGCCGCTTGGCCAATGCCAGCCTCCGCATCGATGAGCGCATTGTTCTCCTCAATAGCACTCCTTAGGGCCTCGCCGTCACCCTCAAAGATGAACAGGAGCGAAGATGAGTACATACGGCTCTCGTGACTTGAGAGAACCTCCTCAACCCTCTGTAGGTCCCGGACAAAGGCGGCACAGACAGCCTTTCCAAGATCCTCATCGATTCCGGCGGCCTTGTTGAAGATGAACTTTCGGAACTCGTCCACGACATTGTCCTTGTTGACAAGCATTCGACCATAATCCTTGTCGTAGATCTTGTACTCTTCTTCATCCAGCTCAGAAGTGTCCTCTGATCCACGGTAGACTCGCATGCCTGCAATACGAAATCCCAAGCTGCCATGGGTGGTCTCGGCCGAGATCTTGTCGAACCGCTGCTTCTTCTGCAGAGGGGCGTCATCGGCCCAGAGTCTAACACCGAGCTTAACGTCGAGAATGTTGGGGCTCTTGAATCCATACGTCGCATTGTCCAGCACAACCGCCTTGTCGGTCTTGATCTTGTTGTCCTTACTAGGGACCCAGTTAACAGTGTCCTTGGGCGGTTGCGCAGCGGCCTCGGCGACCTGCTGGCGGACAGAGGCGACAATCTCCTCCTTGGACGTCTTGACATCTCCAGACTGAGAAATAACACCGGCAACAGCTTCGTCAATTGTTGAGTCAGCGGGGTCGCTCAGCATCAGGGAGCCCATGAACAAGGGCATGATCTCGGCGAATTCGGGGTGCCTTCGAGTGGCAGACTGGTAGAAATCAATCTCGGACTGGGTACAGGGCTTGATAAAGAGCTCGCCATTGGGAGTACAGAGCGTGCCGGCACTGGAGGAGAAGGTCAGCCTTTGTAGCGCAGCGGGGGACCGAGGCATTGTGACGCAAATGCGCGATGCGCGACGAGGCGCGAAGCGACAAGAGCAGCAAGACAAGACAGGGGGCAAGGTGCAGCGCATAAAGAGCGCAAGGGCATCTGAATACTCACTGGCCGGCGACAGCGTAGTTGTAGTCGCGAAGCTCGTGGCGATTAGGCATTCCTTTGGATCCCATCTTGATGATGGGGGGTTGTGGCGGTGGGTGCGCGCCGGCAGTCGGTGTAGCGTAGCGATAGCAAAGATAGACCAGACCAAGTGAGTCGAGCAAAGACAGAGACAGGCAGCAACCAGAAGCGACAGACGTAGGCGGGCTTTAAGCACCGACAAAAGTCGAGCGAGAGCGGTGAGCTAACCAGTACGAGTAGGAAGGATGACGAGCAATGGCGAGAGCGTTAAAAGAGGCTGAAGCTCAAAGGCTGAGGCAAGGCGAAGGAAGACAAGACTGTCGCTAGGTTCTCGGCGCAAGGCAAGCGTATTTCTGACGGAGTGGAGAGATGGATACTGGGACAGAAAGTTTGGCCGCTGACGCTGACTCCCTTCTTGTATAGGATCAACAAAGTCCCAAGATACGAAAAAAAAGGAACAACAAGGGAAAACCCAGACTCGTAAAAAGTCAGGGGCGCGGCAAGGCCAAAAAAAGAAGGGATTTCGACTGCAGATCAGCGCAGGATCAGCCCCCGGTTTTGACAAGGTGCGACACGTCAAGGCCGAGTCTCGTGTCCGTGAGTGTGTGTGTGTTTGTTCTGTGGGCGGCGGGCTCCAGCTGAGGTGGGAGGGCCAGATCCGTTTCGTTCCTTGACGTCGGTTGAGTCGAGGGAGGAAAGGCTTAGGTTGTTGGCCCGAGGGTAGCGAAGGGAGCGAAGAGAGCGGCGCGCGAGTGGCGACTTTTTCTATCCAATTTTCTGTGTGAATCGGTGAGAGAGCAGCCAAGGTCAAGGTCAACCTTGCGAATTGCCTTTCTTGGTGGCGGATGCGACGGAGCGAGGTGGGAAATTGGAGGACGCCGGCGCAAAACCAACAAATAATATTCTTCAAACGGCGGCTGGCGAGACGCGGTATCGTAGGATAGACTAGGGGAGACAGGAAGAGAGCGGTTCGAGATGGTCAGTGATCACGGCGGAGTCTCTTTGGAGTTTATACTGGAATGTCCCACCCCCGTCCCTCGTCCGTCGACTAACAGAAGATGGGGAAAATGTGAAAGAGGGGGATTGTGGCTAGGCAGGCACAGGCACAGGACAAGGCCATCCATCCAAATTCCACTCCCAAGCAATCACATCAAATCGTCAACAACAGCCCAGTAAGACGTTTTGCCCTAGGTAGGTACACAGCCAAATCGCCAGCCAGCCAGCCAACCAAGGTGGAGGCGGTACCTCCCGCGGTCCCCTAGAAAAGTGCGAGCAGGCGAAAGGCGATGGCGAGACCGATAACGAAGCCCCCGGGACAGACCATGGCGGCAATGCCATGTCTGATTCACCCAAATGAAGCGCCAGAGTCCGGCGTCGTATCCTATCCAGAGCCAGAGCGCGTGCGCTGCCTCAAGCTGCGGCAGCCGCTGAGCCACGCCAACGTCAGGCCTGTCAGAAGGCGACCTCCTCCCCAGGGGAGACGGGGGCTCACCCCGGCCTGAGCCGCCTTGGGAACCCGCTGGGCAGACTCGCTCTCGACGTTTCTGCGAAAGGGGGAGCCGTGAGAGTGCGCCTAGGGCGGGCTCGTGCAGCCGCTAGAAGCAAGGCGACCACATCATCTCTGTCTCACCGTCGACAACAGTGACCGGGTTGGTTGGTTACACGTCGCCTCCCATCGCCAGTCCAGCTCAGAGCAACTGGCATGGTGTTTTATTATGCAAAGGACACAAGGTATCCAGAAGATGGGGTATCATATGCGTTGTCTATGTTGGTTGTGCGTTGTCCTAGGAGTCTTTGGTGTGTTTCGCACCTCTTGAAACAGAGCCTTCACAGGACTAGCCAGCCACTTGATCCTAGTCTCACAATCAACTTGACGTTGCTAATAGACAATTTAGATGAGAGCAGGGGACTTTTGAGAAATAATCAAGAGGGATTCGTCACGTCATCCTTAATGCGACCCAGTCCAACATGCCAAACCAACCCGTCGGGAACCACATTGAGACCCGTACATGCAGTGCTGCGTTGCACGTTTTTTCTCCTCGTCTTTGTTTTTTTCTTCCCAACTAGCCCGTGCATCGTGAAATGAAGGCTGGGCAGTTACATCATAGCCCCATATACCGGGCTCTGCTGAAATGTCCGCCCACGTGCGAAACTCCTGAGTTGGGTTGGGCCTTTTGACAAGGTTGTAAATTCGTATTCCAGCTACAAACGTGCAATCACACAAACAACAAGTCGTACAACTCAGAGACTCGGGTCTCACCGTCACCCTTCGTCTAGGTTCCTATTGGGAGTGTTGAGCTTGGCCCGACAGCCGTAGACCGCCCGTGATCATCGTCAACTGACCTCGACACCCAGCCCCCTTTGGCGAATCACATCATTAACTGGTGCTTTTTCTCGCAAAGCAGGCTCACGACGAGCTCCAATAAAGCATCCGGTGCCTTTCTTGGCCGGGATGGGCCGTTCCGTGTTTTCCGGAATCTTGTTGGCCTAGGTTGCGGTGTATCTTGAAGGTGTGTCCAATGTGCAAGACAAACAACATCCAGCCCCGCCTTGGAGGTTATCGTGAAAATCAGCCTCGCTTTGAGCCCTACCGTTGGACCCAACTCCGAACCCCGCACTGGTTGCCTTCCTACCCGTGTGACGGGGTTTTTGAGGCAGCCTGTCCGCACTGTATCATTAAGCCAGCTAGTTGAAGGGAGCATAATGCTGAGGAATAACATCTGTTGAATGCGCAAGGCTGTTACAATGATGATATAGCTCTGTTATGGGCTAATCATGATATTATAATTATGTTATAATTGAGAGATGTTTTTAGAAGATATTATGTTAACTTTTTATCATGAAGCTATGATATAAACCCGACAGTGTGAAGCAAGTCATGTGTCATACTGTCCTGAACCCCCTTCACCCGGGTAGGTTGTTATCAAAGTGCAAGCGGAGACTTTGCGGACTAAAGCTACTGAGCCCTCAGAAGTATCGATGCGATATTGCCTGATGAGGCATCAGGGTAGGGCGGGTATTACGGGCGCTTGCTTCTTTCAAGCCGGGAGCCGTGATGAGGCTGGGTGCAGATAGCAAACGGAGTTGAGAGAGCACTAGGTATGCACCTAGCGTCAAGCTATCAGGCGATAGTCTTGAACTTGGCTTGAGTAACGGGCCTTGTATTCTTTTGCTGGTCTGCCTGTTTACTGTGAGTTGATTTCCTTGAAGCCCCTCGATGGTTACACGAACTGCAAACTACTCATCTAGGAGTTGAGGATCAAATGTACACATAGGGAGTGATATATAGATAGCTGCATAGAATTTTATATGTCTACCAAAGAACGCTGGTAGATTGCTATCATATCTGCAGCTTCCCATCTGCTTGTCATGTTGCAAAGCAAACAGCCGCTGCGAGCCAGCTGTTGCCAGCTGCCGCACAAACTTGACCAAACGATGAGGCTTCCCTAAGGCGTAGAGTAGCTACCTACTTCACTTTTTTTCTCTTCAAATTCCGGTTTTTTAACCATCCCCTCTTCCTCTTCGTGCTCATCATCTCTTCTCTCAAATTCGTCAGTGAATCACAATCAAGAGCACCCCAGATCCTCAACACCAACTCGTTTCTCTCTTGACCATCGCAACATATTCACCGCTCGCACATCGCTCAGAATGTCGTCTCCACCACCTCAGCCTGAGCCACCCTCCGCAGTGGAGGGTGAAAAGTCCGAGGCGCCAGAGGCCGACCTTGGTCCACCTCCCGCCTTGCCAGCCTCATTGCAGGGAATCGCAAAGCCGGGAAAGGGCAAAAGAGGCAGAAAGACCTTGATAAACCGGGGTCCTACTGCACTGCCCAAGAACCGCGGCAATGGCTTCGAAGGTATGGCCTTACCCACACACTTGGCGATAGAGTGTAAGCTGACGCAGGCTTAGAGTATTTCGCCGATCCGCCCATGACCCCTGATGAAGCCAACGAGGAAAAGAACGAGATCTATGCCCCGTAAGTTATTGGGAACGCAGTACCTTTGTCGAATGAGAAGCTAACATGTCCGGAGGTATCTTCCATTTACAGAGTAAGATCGCTTACGCACAGCACCCTTCCAAAGTTCCATTGCTGACACCTCTCAGGCGCATCCAGTCTTGCATTCAGCGCTTCCGCTCGCGCCGTCGTCTCCAGGGCGACCGCACTCTTTACTTCAATGAGTATCTCTTCCTCGGCGGTGTCGACTGTAACCCTGGTGCCTTTGGTGGACTTGGTCGTCAGGACTTGAAGGACCTGACTCCTGCTGAGCGTCGGGAGGCGACTGCAACGGATATCGTGTATGGAACCACGGCAGCTGGCGACAGATTCTACAACGGCGATGATGATGCGTGGACTGTCGATTTTGCTGGCATTGCCGCTGGCTTCATCTCGGTTGCTCTTGTGCAGCTGACGTCCTTTGAGCACGGGAGAATGATGACGGGCATCGACACTGTTATCAACTTTCTCCGATACATCCTTCATCACGACGTGTGTCCAGAGTATGAAGACGATGTCAAGGCCGCTCTACGGGTATGCGACACAGCTTGCGTCGAGTGGCCCATGGTTCGACAGCTCTATACCTCCCTCCCTGGAAACTTCAACCTTGCTGCCGCGGAGCTCTTCTGTCCCGCAGAAACCGCCGATGATGCATGGTCTTTTCAACAGTACAAACGCCCAGATGATTTCGATCCCAAGTCTGTCTTCTTCTCAGCCATCGCTTTGATGGACGAACCGGAGCTGTTTGGGCGCATCTGCACCAAGGAACCCAAGCTCGAGAGAGAGTTTACCTGCACTATCGAACTTGTCGAGGTGTTTCGTCCGAGGGAGGACATGATCAAGCGAGTCAAGTCACTCGTCATTGGAGACAACCCATTCGAGCACGTCCCTGTCGGAAAGGCCATCTTCAAGCAGGGCACCATCGAGGACGACTGGGAGACGCCCGTCTTCCCATGGCCCATCGCCGAGGATACCATGACACTGTTCTTTGACGACAACATCTTGGAGTGTATGGCGCCGGGCATGAGGGCCACCGCGACCATCTACGAGCTGGACGCTGGTCTAAGATTTGTCAAGTCGGTCGAGATCATCGTCCCTTCGTTTTACACCTATCTTCCTCAGGAGTTGATGCGAGGTTACAAGGAGCCCAAGGATTCGGATCGTCCGGCGCCGTCCATCCATGATCCCGATGCAGAGGAGAAGCAGCACGCCGCGGCTGCCAAGGAGGGCTAGGGAGGGCCTATTATGCTAGATGGAGATGGGCAAAATGAAGGATCACACTCTTACAAGTCAGCAAGATAGACGAGAGCCTACCAAGATTTTAAATCAATGGAATTTAAGTCTGGGCACAATAAACTATGCGAAAGGTACACATGCTTCGTCCAACGCCAACAGTCCTTATATCCTCCAGTGCAAAACACAAGATTCATGCCCCTAAACTCCGATTATAATTCCCCTCCGTCGAGGGAAAAAAAGAGACTTCTGTGTTCGTAGGCATCATTTCCGTTCCCACAACCACACAATTCTTACACAACAAGGTTGCCACCCACTCCCACAAAACTTGCAACCGAAACAAAAATCGTGGAGAGACGCAAAAAAAGAAATGATCTGATGAGACTGGGACTCGAACCCAGGAGGATTGCTCCACCAGGAATTGTAGGTTGTTAAGGTGACCTTAACCTGGCGCCATAACCAACTCGGCCATCTCACCTGAGGTCCTTGGTTGAGGACCCGCTTGATTGTTGAGGGCTGGTCTGCAAAAGCAGCTCAAGTTCCTTGGGTGGTGACAGAGACGGGCTTTGCAAGTCACCCCGTCAACCCGTTCAATTCGATATCCAGTTGAGCATCTAATCCCTCGACTGAACCTTGTGGTCCCCAGCGACGACCTCGGCGTATGAAGGGGGGACTCCGTGATTATCAGAGCTGCCCTCGCCAGCATCTGTGGCACCCTGCTGCTGAGGGGCAGGTCGAGCCTGGCTCGAGGCGGAGGCGTTCTGCGTGCCGTAGTTCATGTTGTTGCCACCGTTCTGGGGTTGAGGCTGAAGCTTGGGCTGCTGGTTCTGAGTCTGGTGTTGGCCTTGTGGGCATTGGACGTAGACGTAGGTAACACGACCGCCCTCGCGATCATTCGGGACGGCCTCGTACTCGTAGGGCGGCTCGGGGAATTTGGCAATGATGTACCAGGCGTGGAGGAGACCTGGGATGTATCCGAGGACGCAGAGCAGAATGTTGATGAGAGAGTCTGCGCTGCAGATTCCGCACTTGACCCAGACTGAAAGCAAAGAGTTAGCGAATGTCGTGTTTGATGCGCAATGGTGCATGCGACATGGATGGAAGCGACTTACCAGGCAGTGGGGGGAAGAGGACGGCGAGGAAAGCGAGGAAGATGTCGGCGGAGCACATGGCTGTAGAGGAGAAAGGTAAAGCTCTAGAGGGAATCTAGACAATGAAAAATCTCAAAGGAAAACGGATGTTCTTTAGAGGTTGAATTATCGCGCGGGCTTTGGTTTTGATGGAGGGAGGAAGAGGGCGTGAGAGGGCGTGTGACTGCTCGGGAACTCTGAGGCTGAGGCGGCTGGCGATGACGCCGAAGCTCAGGTACGTACCTCTCTTTCCTCTGAGGTCACCTGGTGGCGTTCTCTCACTGGGGTGAGGAGTCAAGCGAGGGGCTTGCGTAATGGACCAGGTCTCGAGGCCTCACGATTGGACACACAGGGCGACGTCAGTTAACCCCACCAACAGTTACAGCCACAGCATCCAACAGCGCGCAGTAGAATTCTCTTGCAGCTTCGTCTTCTTTTCTTGTGAAACTAGGCCAGGCTTCCATTTCCGAGTCATTGGCTGGGATTGTCAAACGACGACTGCCTTGTAGGGTTGAGCCTGTAAGATTCGGAGCTCAACTCCTCCGGTGTACGTCACCCAACTGACTTATACGGCTGGGTTTAGGCCGGACATTGCCAGGACGATAGCGAGTGAGTTGATTAAACAAGGTTTGAAATGCAGGTTCTCAAGCTTTATCTCTACTCATCCGATGCAACGTTCCTTTGACTCACTGTTGACGCATTCCGTGAGATCGCGAGCATCGAAGCGCAACACGATCCCCTCATGGCTGCGCATCCGAAGAGCTGCACCCATCAAATCCCTTCAAGGGCGAATGGTTTAGTGGTATAATACTCCCTTAGCATGATTCATCTGAATGATTCAAGCGTTTGGGAGTGGTCCAGGGTTCGATTCCCTGTTCGTCCAGCCGTGGTGGTTCCAACCCACCATTGTACCTCATTCTTTCTTACCGGGCGAATGGTTTAGTGGTATAATACTCCCTTAGCAAGTTTCTTCTAGATACTCGCCTCTGGGAGTGGTCCAGGGTTCGATTCCCTGTTCGTCCAACTCAGGTGGTTTAATTCCATCATTGTCCACTCTTTTTGCTGTTTGCAACTGGAGTTGTTACCCATCGGGGCATGGCAGGCACCAGGAACCTTTGGTCGCCAAGAGTGACCTGGACGGTAGCTGCGGATTAATACAAGAGGGGAGAGAAGGGTTTGGGTTGTCTATTACTTTTTTACATATGTACTGGTCTAAAAAGAATACTCCCTGCTTTTCCATGACTGTTCTCAGTTGTGAAGCTTTATAATCTACAAGTTGCTTTAAGAGACATAGGGATCTAGGAAAATGCGTAAGAATACATGTATCTTTCCATTAAGGAGAATAAATAAGTGTAAAATATAATACCTAGTTTCGATTGAAACTAGAATAAAGCCCTGAGCATACAAATATTTCTTCTACTTATCTCATCCACTGCACATTTAAAATAACGTCCATTGCATGACAAAAGCTGGGGTACAGGGTGACCACTCACCGAGCCTCACCGAAACCCGCCAAGGTGAGCCGACCTTTTGCCACGGTCAGATTCCTACAACTTTTCCCGTGCACCTTCACTTTACACTGCTGAACCATCCTGCTAGGTCGCAGGATCGGTTTCTCTTTTCTAACATGGACGACCTTTTGAACCTCGAGCTTTTGTCGCTCGTGTCAAAGGTCACGTCGGAACTTCAGAATCACGTCGGCGTCGGCGACAAAACTTTGGCCGAGTTCCTGATCGCGCAGCGTCTAGAATGCAGCTCCTTCAACGAGTTCCGCGAGAGACTCGCGGGCATCGCCCCGGACTTTCCGCCCAGTTTAGTCGAGAGCCTTGACCGCCTTGTGCTAGCCATGCACCCAAAGTTCAAGGGCAAGAACGGCGCCCAAGACGAAGAACACCACCATACGCGAACGCTCGAGGAGAAGGAAAAGGTCTTTAGTGGACTCGCGCTCCCGGACAAGGACCCCGTACCTGATGGTGGAGCCGATGCGATTGATGATACCCTGGCGCTTCTCGAAGGCTTGGAAGGAAAGGCGAAAAAGGACAAGAGTGCGAGGAAACGGAGCCGAAGCCCTGAGGACGACCAGAAAGATTCAAGACGCAGGAGGAGAGATCGATCGCGCTCGAGAGACCGGCGCAGGCGAGACAAATACCGATCGCGATCGCGGTCGCAAGAACGAGGCGATGAAGACTGGCGAGATGGCCATCGCGATTCGCGCAAGGACCGACGAGGTCGCCGACGGTACGACGACGACGATGACCGCTTCCGCAATGCTCCAGCACCCGAGATGGACGATGCGCCACAATTACACAAGGTCTACGAGGGTCATGTTACAGGCATCAAGGACTTTGGCGCCTTTGTCAACCTGCATAATGTTAGGGGCAAAGTCGACGGTTTGGTTCACGTCTCGCGCATGGTTGCTGGGCAGCGAGTCAGTCACCCCTCTGATCTCTTGACACGAGGACAACAGGTCTGGGTCAAGGTTACAACCATCGAAGGGAGCCGGGTTGGGTTGTCGATGAAGGATGTTGATCAAGAAACTGGTCAAGATCTGGAACCGCAAGCTCGCATGACAACTGGCGCCAACATGGAGGCACTGGGAGGAGGAGCAAGAAATGGCTTCGTAGACCCATCTGCCGGGCCACGAGACAACTTGGGACCACCCCGACGACAAAAGAAGAGAATGACCTCACCAGAGAGGTGGGAGATAAGACAGTTGATCGCATCAGGAGTAGCCAAGGCTTCTGACTACCCCGACCTGGAGGACGACTACAACGCGACGTTACGCGGTGATGGCGAGATGGAGCTGGAAGAGGATGTCGATATTGAAGTGCGTGAGGAAGAGCCTCCTTTCCTGGCTGGCCAGACCAAGCAATCTCTTGAGCTGTCACCAATTCGAGTTGTCAAGGCACCAGACGGCTCCATGAACCGAGCAGCCATGTCAGGAACTGCCTTGTCCAAGGAGCGAAAGGAACTGAAACGACAGGAAGCTGAGGTTGCCGATAAGGAAGAGCCCAAGGAGAATCTTGCTACCGCCTGGCAGGATCCTATGGCAGACCCCAACAAGCGACAATTTGCCAGCGACCTCAGGAACGCGAGAAAGAACCAACAGTCAGAAGAGGTTCCCGAATGGAAAAAGGCCGTCATTCCAAAGGGCCAGTCCCTGGGCAAGCGTACAAACCTGAGCATCAAGGAGCAACGGGAGTCATTGCCTGTCTTTGTCTTCCGAAGTCAACTCATCAAGGCCGTTCAGGAGAACCAGATCTTAATTGTTGTCGGAGAGACAGGTTCCGGAAAGACAACACAGCTTACGCAATACCTTGCTGAAGCTGGCTTTGCCAATGATGGCATGATTGGTTGCACCCAGCCTCGTCGTGTCGCTGCCATGTCAGTCGCCAAGCGAGTCGCTGAAGAAGTTGGTTGCAAGCTTGGAGAAGAAGTTGGTTACACGATCCGTTTCGAAGACTGCACCAGCCCGGCCACCAAGATCAAGTACATGACGGATGGTATGCTTCAGCGTGAGATTCTCGTTGATCCGGATCTGTTGAGATACTCGTGTATCATGCTTGACGAGGCCCATGAGCGTACCATTGCCACCGATGTGCTCTTTGCTTTGCTGAAGAAGACCCTCAAACGACGACCTGACATGAAGGTCATTGTCACATCTGCGACTCTCGATGCCGACAAGTTCTCGGCTTACTTTAACGAATGTCCGATCTTCACGATTCCCGGTCGAACATTCCCTGTCGAAGTTCTCTACTCTAGGGAGCCTGAATCTGATTACTTGGATGCGGCTCTGGTCACGGTCATGCAGATTCACCTTACTGAACCCAAGGGTGACATTCTACTGTTCTTGACAGGTCAAGAAGAAATCGACACAGCTTGCGAGGTCCTATACGAGAGAATGAAGGCGTTAGGGCCTAACGTGCCTGAACTCATCATTCTCCCTGTGTACGCGTCGCTTCCCACCGAGATGCAGAGCCGAATTTTCGAGCCAGCGCCCCCTGGGAGCCGCAAGGTCGTTATCGCTACCAATATTGCCGAGACCTCGATCACCATCGATGAAATTTACTACGTTGTGGACCCCGGTTTCGTAAAGCAGAATGCTTACGATCCCAAGCTGGGAATGGACTCACTGGTGGTTACCCCTATTTCACAGGCCCAGGCAAACCAAAGATCTGGCAGAGCTGGCCGAACCGGTCCCGGAAAGTGTTTCCGATTGTACACAGAAGCTGCGTATCAGTCAGAGATGTTGCCGACTACCATCCCTGAAATTCAGCGACAGAACTTGTCTACGACGATTCTGATGCTCAAGGCCATGGGCATCAACGACCTGTTGCATTTCGACTTTATGGACCCCCCTCCGATCAACACCATGCTTACCGCGTTGGAGGAGCTGTACGCGCTCAGTGCTCTCGACGACGAAGGCCTCCTGACTCGGCTGGGCAGAAAGATGGCCGATTTTCCCATGGAACCCTCCCTTGCCAAGGTCCTTATTGCTGCCGTCGAGCTCGATTGCGCCGAAGAAGTGCTTAGCATTGTTTCTATGCTCAATATCTCGACCGTCTTCTATCGCCCCAAGGAGAAGCAGTCGCAAGCCGACCAGAAGAAAGCAAAGTTCCACGACCCTCATGGCGACCACCTCACCCTGCTCAACGTGTACAACTCGTGGAAGCACAGCGGATACTCAGCCCCCTGGTGCTTTGAGAACTTTATCCAGGCGCGTTCCATGCGTCGTGCAAAGGATGTTCGTGACCAGATTGTTAAGATCATGGATCGGTACAAACATCCTATCGCCTCGTGCGGACGCGCAACCGAAAAGGTGCGCCGTGCTCTCTGCGCAGGCTTCTTCCGCAACGCGGCACGCAAGGACCCGCAGGAGGGATACAAGACGCTGACTGAGGGGACACCTGTATACCTGCATCCAAGCTCAGCCCTGTTTGGCAAGCAGGCTGAGTGGGTGATTTACCATGAGCTTGTGTTGACGACCAAGGAGTACATGCACTGCACGACAAGTATCGAGCCAAAGTGGCTCGTGGAGGCTGCGCCAACATTCTTCAAGGTTGCACCAACAGATCGACTGAGCAAGAGGAAGAAGGCAGAGAGGATCCAGCCACTGTACAACAAGTTTGCAAACG